TTTGTGGTTACCTCAGTTTAACTCAGGGAAACATAGTATTCACACACACACATACACACACAAACACACACTCACAAACACACAAAAGCATCAGGAGATCACATCAATTGCAATTTTCATCCAAGAGTCAGAGAAACAATGGCATTTCCTCAGGCGAACCCAAATAAAATAAAAGACCGTGTGGCCTTTTTCCTTTATTATCAAAATGAACTGCGTTGCCGTCTGCAACTCCGCTAGCCATTTCCTGCCTCACTCACACACACACACACACACAAGCTTGCTGCTTGCTCACTCAACGCACATGCTTAAACACATTCTGCAGACATCCTTCCAGTAGTCCCCAAACACACCAACAAACACATAATCACCACCGAGTATTCCCATACTCTGTTCATGCACACACACACACACACACACACAAACACACATATTTCCTAGTCATTAGTAGCTCAGTTTAACAGTGTTTAAGGTGTTTTCTGACTAAGCTGTCGAACTGTGTTTTGCACGTAACTCAATCTGTGCAGCAAGGCTCTTTATCCCCGCCGCGGGGCTGGTTGAGTTATCATGTCGTGTTTGACAGGCGGCCCTGTGGTAATGGAGGTGTTGAGCGTGTGTATTTGTGAGCGAGAGAGACTGTGTGTGGCTTGGGGTGGGTCTTTGTCCTTTGTCCATGTGTAGACCGGGAGTTGCTGTGAAGAGAAAGTGATTGTGCATGTGGCCGTATTTGGCATATGATGATGATGATTTTTTGTGTGTGTGCATCTGTGTGTGTGTGTGTGTGCGCACGCCCCTCCGTCCGCTCGTGTCCTCTGCCCTCGTCGTCTTTGTGGCTAGCTGTGGGGATCAAGTGCGTTCCCATGGTTGCAGCAAGCCTATCGCCCCTGGAGACGACACCTTAGAGAGAGGGAATCTTCAACAGCCCCGAGTCGGGCGGAGGGTAAATAAGAGCCTCTCTTGGGGCCCCTCAAAGTGAGGGCCAAGTGCACTTTAGAACCAGGGGTCAGAAAGAAGCCTGAAACCACATACAGTCTTGCTGGCCATGGTTACACAGCTAGCAGACACACTAATTAAGAATCTGTAAATAAATACGCTCTTCCCATCAAGAAGGTCTTTTTTGAGGAGAATATTAGAATAGACTAGAATATTTGGATATTATAGATTAAGCTCCAAAAAAACAGAATCTTATATTTCCCACAATGCAACCAATAGTATGTTAAATGTCCACGTCTTTTAAACTCCCTGCCCAAAACTTGTGCTTCTATTGCCTCCCAATGACGAGTAAACTTATCTTCAAGTGTAAAATCTGTGGAGTGGCCCTTTAAGAAAGGCTTTGTGATTCAAAAGGCTTGATCTGACATTGGTTACATTCATCGTGCTTGTGTGTGTGAATGTGTGCGTATGAGCCTAGAGTAGTATGTAACAGCTGCGTTAATGCTCCTATATCCCCTACATATTACATACACATAACACAGCTACCCTAAATACATGTAGTTGTACATACACATGTGTGTGTCAGCCTATGTATTACCAGCACATGTAACAGCTGCACCCCGTGGGATTTTTTGATTTGCGGGTCCATTATGCACGACATATGGGTAACTCTCTCTCTCTGTCTTTCTCGCTTCGATGTTTTGCTTCCTGTCTTTATCTCATCCCTTCCTCGCTTGACTGAACTCAAAAGAAGTGATAAGATCGTAATCGTCCCAACTACAGATTCCTCCATTAGAAGAGTCACAGAGCGAGTGAGTTCTCTATCAGACAAATTACCTTTTGTTGCCCTTGAATAGCTTTTATACAGTTATTACACTTTCCCTCTCGCTTTCATTCCCCCACTGGTTTAAAAAGTAATTTGAGTTATTGGTTGACGTACAGATTGCTATACATCTGATCATCTTACTCTCGACAAGAAAGCAAAACTAGTTCCCAGAATGTTGCATTATTCATTTAAATTTCTACTTCATAAAAGTGCTGACTGGACTACCTTGAAAGTAGTATTTATGGGAGGAATGAAGCGTTTCCTGTCCCAACTTTATGTAATGTAAATCAAGCATGGAATAAAACCTGTTAACAAAAGATAAGCAGGACAGACGTAAAAATGAGATGATATGAATCAGATTTTTTGAGGAATTTGTTCCTTCAGAGGAGCTGTTTTTACTATCTACACCTACGAAGCATATTGTCCAGTCACTATCTTTTTTTTCACTTCTGCTCTCTGCTGTGAATTCGGGCATACACAACAGGACAGTGACGTTTTCTTTCCTTCTCTGTTGCCCCTTCCATTCCTTCACCACTGCTGAGCTTCTTTGAACCTTTTGGTTGTTTGTGTTAGGGTCTTCATTGTTCTTCTGCTGCAGGCTGCCAACATTTCTTTACAGCTTCAGGCCGCAGGCTTTGCTGCTTTCTGAACCAAACCAGATTTTTTTTTTTTCTCTCACCTAGAGCGCAGTGGAGCTTGATCACAGACTGCCCACAGGGAAGTTCATTCATATATCACAGCACAGGGTAATGAATTAAAGGTACCTCTAATTATCAGGGATATTTTTAATTATGCAAGAATTTCCTAAACTTTTGGCCGCAGACGGGTTTCCCCGAGTGCAGCGTTCCACCACAGGCTGCTGTCGTGTCAGCTCAGGAAGTAGAATTCAGGTTACATAACAACACTTTAAATCATGACGGTTGAAGGTTTTCATCGAGGGCTCGTCCTACTTTTCTGATTTGATCCAACAGTGCGAGGCCCCAACAAGAGTTTACTGACTAATGCGTGGGCTGCCTGGAAAGACGGATGTCTGTGGTTACCATGGTGACGTTAGGGAGGGAGGGGTTTAGCACAAGTAGGCACCTGTAGACACTGTGCAGAGGGGCGACTGGCTGGTTGCCAGGGACAGGGGTGTGGTTTCCTACCAGCATGATTGCTATACATGCTCCAGATACAAGGTGATTATAGGTTACTGACACACAGACAAATGCTAAACAGTGTGAGGTTAGCGAGGCTAAATATTACATTTAGACATTAGGAAGAAGCATGTGATCAAACGGTGCAAGAGTTCACCCATAAGGCCTTGCTCCTTGACCACACCTGATATGCCTTCTGTAGGCCTGAATCTAATATCACACTTCCAGGAAAGGGATCAAATCCTTCTTTGCTCAATCACTATTTTTCTGTGCACAACTGTGTGTGTGTGTGTGTGTGTGTGTGTGTGTGTGACATGGTTGTGCTTGTGACACCGAGCCTGTGATTGAGTGAAAATAAAAGACGATCCAAATGGGATTAGAAGTGAAAGAGAAAACAGACGGCCTTCCTGTTCGTCTTTGTGGAAAGTGTGAACGTGTTTTTTGGTAGAATCAGTGGAAACGGGGCACGTTGAAGGGAGTGGCAGCGACAAAACTCCCTGTGGGTTGGAAAATATGCCCGGACCAGAGCCCACCTGAGCCAAAATAGAAAAGACACTGCGCCCCTCTGTTGCTAATTTTTTTTTTTTTTACCCGTCTGCCAGTTTCTCTTTTGTCTGTTTCTTTCAGTCTCTTATTTCTGGTCAGTCCACCTCCCTATTTTTGTCCGTCGCTCTTTCTTTTCTATTTGTCGCCCTCTTTTTTTTTCACTCTTCCTTTGTTTGCAGTGTGTGTGCCCCACCAGTATCTCATTACTTTAATCCTATTTATGAAGGAGACAAACACATTGTCACACACGTCTTTCTATGCGTGCCTCTTTTTTTTGACGCTTCTTTCATTAACATTTCTCACAAAATCATATGAAAGAAGACTGTAAGCAAATTGTCTGAAATAAGCTTTTTTAACAATTCATTCAAAAATAATATGAACTTCATATCACTTCATTTAGTCACATTGAGCTGTTAAGATGCGGCACCGTAGTGGTTTGAAAGTCTCTGTCGCTATCGCTCGAACTGTCAACCTCAGCCTGGCTGCCTTATGTAAACACTGCACTGTGATCAGATCTGGGATCTGTAGTCCCATTGTTGTGTGTTGTTGCAGTCATGAGATTTCCCTTTCTCTCAGGAGAGATAGCAGAGAGATGTCACTAATTATTTTGATCTATTGTAGGCCAATCACAGCCAGAAAATGCAATGTAAGCACCGTTATTTTACTGTAAATATGCTTGAAAAAATACCATATGAACTATATTCGTCTAAAGAATATAAGGTATGTTTTGTGATGTCTCAAAATGGCTCATATATTTAGCAACATCATGTCATGTACTTCACTTTTCTGATGGCAAGGGGAAGAGGTTTTATTTAATTGGTGGAGACATTTCTTTTTATTGAACTCTGCTTCCTCTTCCGAGACCACTATTGTGTAGGAAATGCTCCATTGAACTTCGGTCTCAGGTTCGATATTACAAAAACTAAAGCGATTTGGTGGCCTGATTTTCTAAGCTGATCCACATTTTCTCAGATCAACATTTGTCGGCCACAGGCCTTGATGGAGGAATTAGCCTACTTTGTAATCATTAGGTGTGAGCTAATGCACAATGGGCTTTTTGTCATCTTAAGCCAAGACAGGCTTGTGTGCTGCTACTCCGAGTCGGCTAAAGTCAGCTAGACATTGTTTGTGTAGCGTTGATCTGCACTGATCGAGCACCAAGGCTGCTGTCCCAGCCAAGTTTCTCACATCGAATAAAAAGAAATAAATCAGTCAAATCTGTAATTTACCATAACAATACAATGTAAAAAGATCATTCTGGCACTTGGGTAGGTAAAGGTAGGCAATAAATGTGATTTCTTTAGTGTAGAGCAGTGTTCTCAACCTTTTCTGTTAGACAGACACTTCATCGGCACCACACATCGTGTTACACCAAATTGTGTTGTTCAGGTGTTATACCTGACTTAATATGTTGACATATATTTTTAATCAGATCAGAATTTCTGTTTTATGTAATTACTCTGCTGTACAATCTTTTCAAGTGCTTTCTCGAGTGCCTATTTTTACAATACCATGTGTAAATGTTGATAATAACTGGACGCAATCTTTATTTTATTCTTCAGCCGAACATCGGGCGACTAGGCATCCCTCATGGACCTTCTGGAGAAAAGGTGGCTGTGGTTGCCGTAGATGACTGTGACATCTCCATGGCGATTCGCTTCGGGAAGCAGATCGGCAACTACTCCTGTGCTGCCCAAGGCACCCAGACGGGACAGAAAAAGTAAGCTGGGGTCTTTACTTCACTCATCTTTTCCTTTCTCTCTTTAGGTCTTTACACTCTTTATTTACAAAAAGCATCCCACACACACACAAACTAGTCAGATTAATAGGTAAGTGTGTTGTGCCCCGGGGGCTCTGTCAAATTGCCTTCATTACAACAGATTACACAACTCTCATTCTACAATCCTCTCCTTCTTTTGTCTTTTAATCTCTGTGTTCATCCTCGTGGCCTATCTGCTGTCAGACATTTAAACAGCCAAAAGCTCATCTCAACACAGGCTTAATCCGACTTACTGTGTGTTTACCATGCACTCATTTATTTTTATTTTTATAGTGTGAGAGTTAGCATGCTGAGGCACATTTAGTATGCAGAGGGTGGGGACAGAGAGAGAGAGAGAGAGAGAGAGAGAGAGAAAGCTTCAAAGAGGAGTTAATGAGGTTACATTCTTTTAGGAACTTGTTGCACAGGTCACAGAAGCCAAGAGGCATTTAGAAGATACATTAACTGTGTCAAACTGGAATATACTAATGTACATGACACCGGTGTGTAATGTGGTTCAAACCAGCAACCCCCTGAAGTTTTGGTGTGAAAATTGCCTTGACATGATCCAGAGTGTGACTGGGGCACAGAGCAGGAACCATATGGCTTTCCGCTTATTTTAGCTATAACTAGCAAGTGGTCCAATTTTACCCCTGTTGCAAAATAGTTCATAAATTAGTAATAGTAATCCATCAGGTTGCATTATTAATAATTATACAAATACATTATTGAACAATTATTCTGAAGCAATACAGAAGCATTTCTGTACAACCACTAGGTAAAGAATATCTCTGAAGAAGTGTTGGCTGTAAAACTGGTCCCAAGATGCACCACATTCCCATTTGAGTTATGAATGGATTTCCCTCATTGAATTCCTTGAACACTCTTTGAATAAGCTCCACATGCTCCTGGCAAAGCAACAGTGTTTGTGCTGTATGTACACAACTTATACATTCAATGGTTTAGCGGGGGTGTTTTTGTGCAGCATTGCATAAATCTGAAAGCCCTTAGGTGTTTGATGTCGAGTGTTTTAGAGGCTTGGGATGTAAGCAGCTTCCTACATGACCTAGTATGTGGACCCTTACTCTGTTAAAAGAATTTAGAAATGTCAATCATGGTAAGGGCTGATGCCTTACCTCAGTCGCCCTTTCTGGTGTAAACTCAGGGCATCAACTTGTTGTCGTTTGTCACTGATTTACAGCCAGAAGGAATAGAAATGAACAGCTCTTATATGGATTTATTCTTTGTATAGCTGAGTCCATGTGCACATTTGATTTTTTTCACATTTTGGTTTTCGCTCCATTTTTCTGTCCGTATCGTCTGCAGATCACTGGATTTGACAGGACCGCTGTTGCTAGGCGGAGTTCCCAACCTACCTGAGGACTTCCCGGTCAGGAACAGAGACTTTGTAGGCTGCATGAGAAACCTCAGCATCGACAGCAAGGCCATCGACATGGCCAGCTACATCGCTAACAACGGCACCACAGCAGGTTAGACATGCTACATGGTAAAGCTGAAGCCATGCTCGCTCGGTGGAGTTAAACTGCAGAGGTGGAGACATTGCTCATTTTTAGTAATAGCATTGAAATTGTCTGGAAAAATTGAGTTATCTGCTAACTTTTCAGAGGCTCAGAGCTAATGAAACTGCCAATTTAATGCTTAAGAAAAGTATTCAGTTGGAAAACTGATACTTCAGTTTAGCTCCTCTTAAATGAAGGTTTTCTTTAAATATATACCATGAGCAGTGAGCAATTCTGCATGCTGCAAGCATGGTTACATTTCTATGTTGTGTTACTTTGCACATACAGCCACTAAATATTTTTTGTTTGTCAAGGTTGTCCAGCAAAGAAAAACTTCTGCACTAATGACGTGTGTCAGAACGGAGGAGTGTGTGTCAGCAAGTGGAACACCTACAGCTGCGACTGCCCGACTGGTTACGGTGGCAAGAATTGTGAACAAGGTAAAAAGTGTGTGTGTGACTCACAAATTAAAGTGTTTTTTTTCTCCAAAGGAAGAAGAAATAACATTTTTAGGAGTTAAAAAGGAACTTTCTTCTCAAGATAGAGTCAAAAGTGTCTGTATTTAAGTGTATGCATTCATATACAGGTGTGTCTCTGGCCGAACGTGCCTGTATCGACATGCGCCTGTGTGTGTTTACCTACAGTAAGTGTGTGTGTGTGTCTTGAGGACTTCCAGGAAGTAGTGTGTGTTTGGGAGATCAAATGGGATAAGGAACACCTCCCCTGACTCAGTCTGACTCATGCAGCCTTCACAATGGAAAGTCACAGTGAAGCTTCTGCTCACTACTGTACAGACACTAAACATGGCCTCAGGTTTGGAGTTTTGTGACTCAAAACCCAGACTCAAAGGATGAAACAAAAGACTTGCCTGCACACACACACACACAACACCACAGCTCCACACACACACACAACACCACACACGACAACAATGACCTGACATCGAGCTGTCGCTCCGCCGCCACTTGCGTCTCCGCGCGCGCCGCGTCTGCCGCCCCCCACGCCGCTCTTCAGCAGACATAGTGAGGGGCACAGCCTCACTGCTTCTCACCTCTAGTCCGAGACCTATATCCCTGGTACTTTTAATATGAGTAGGTAGGTACTCTGGTACCGACAGACAAGACGGACCGGACGGCGCAGATGACCGATGGCCAGACAGACAGATAGATAGATAGTAGTAGATAGGAAACATAAAAGCATCACAGCTTGCTAACGTTGTTGTTATTTACACTCCATAACCCATCTCATGTTCTTCTATGGTAAGGAGAGAACTTTGATTTCCTCCTTTAGGGCGAGCTTCCAAACAATGTGTGAAGGTGTGAATACCTCTCCTTGCCCTCTCGTCTATGAGGTAGCCGCCCAGCTAGTGCCAGGCCCCAGTATCCAGTATCTGAACTGGGCCGAGATCACAGCGAGCTGGGAAGAGGCTTTGGCTGGTCCAACTGCTTGTTGACACATTTGGTTTGAGGCGTCACACACCAAGCTGCCACATGAGAAACAAGAGATTTGTTATCACGTATTTTACGCTGCCAAAATCATCCAGACTGGACTGACATGAAAAGACTGAAGATGCACTGTTAGGCACCTTTTTTTATTTTAATTCTATCAGGTCAGATTTCAATTGTACAGACCATTTGGTAAACACAAGGAATGTGTTCTGTCACACTACCTAAAATCAGATTACAGTCATGTTAAAGATAAACATGCAGTATATAGGAAAACATTGCTCCATGTGCATGGATGGCATTGGCTAGTACATTCCCGGTTAATTAGTTAATATATTTGAGGAATAAATCAATAAGAAACTGGCAAACTTAAAAAGAGTGTAATAGAGATGGCTTATTATAATTTAGTGTCTGTCACATCGCCCATGTGCTGTGTGTTTGGTGTTGTGTTGCCGTGAAGTTTGCTACAGATATTCAAGGTCCCTAGAGGATAAATCATGTTGGTGATCCCTGACTTTTCATCTAGCACCATCATCAGGGCGTGTTAGCTCACATTTAGCTTAAAAAACAGTTGCATCTAGGTATAGCCTCACAAAGCTGCTAACAATGCTGTGGACTCTCTCTGTGCTATGGTGTAGAACTGAGTCTTGATAAATGAGAACTGAGGAGTGGCTGTTGTTTTACTTCACGGAGGACTAAGCTTTGGTGTAGTAGTCAAACTAAAACCACTGTTGCTACCTGTTACCAGAAACAAATATGTGCTTTGTCTCATAATTATAGCTTGTGTATGTGTGTATTTGTGAAGCTTCAGTTGAAATATGTGCCCTGGGGACCTAAAAACATACCGAGTTTATGCTGTAGATTATACAGGAGGAAACACTTACTATATGTTGTGCTGAAAGGGACCCTTGCTGTGAGTGTGTGTGGGTGTGTTTGTGTGTGTGTTTCTTGATCTCTCTCTCAACATGCACAGGAGCTTACACGGCATGTGTCATGTCTCTAGGATTTTCAGTGGATTTTCAAAATGTCTCGAGACATTGGATGTTTGTCTAAGAATTACTGTGTACTAATCCCAACACATAAAGTAGTAATTATATCACATGGGTCTGCAGAATATCACATTTCAGCACAGTAATCAAGCTATTGATTATTAATACATTTTTGAGCAACATTCAAATCTAACACTTAAGTATAATTCTAGTTCAAAATAAATAAAACATGGTAAGGACAACTGGTAGCCTCCATCTCATAAAAGTGATATTATTACTGCTAGTGTTCCTCAAAATTAAGACTATTTTCCCCATAAACCATTTTGCTTTATGTTACAAAGACACAGATGCTACTTGTTGTCTCTCCTCATTTTTTACCTTTCAGTTTCACTTCACTGAAGAAGAAGAATTATGTTGGATGTGATTGCTCAAATTGCTGTTCACTCATATTAAAACTCTGAAACCTTCAGCTTCATATGCAGCAGAAGAGCAGCCCCCTTTTCTTGTTTTTGTGTGTTAAAGCAATCCAGCAAATCTCTATGAAGTTAGACCTGTAGACCGCAATGATCTAATGTGTTTATTGGAATTACACTAATGTTTCAGTATAAATATGGCACAGATTTATCCTTGAAATGCTATGCATAGCACCTCTAAACACATTTAATGCCAAACACTAATCATGTTTTGTCCACAAACTGATCCTTCCTGTTCTCTCCTGTCTCGTCCCTGTTTAGTGATGCCATCCCCTCAGTTCTTTGACGGCCAGTCTCTGATCTCCTGGAGCGACCCAGACGTTACCGTCGCCATCCCCTGGTACATGGGTCTCATGTTCCGCACCAGGCAGCCTGCTGGCTCACTAATGCAGATCAATGCTGGATCCTCCTCCACTATCAACCTCATGGTGAGATACAGTGTAAAGTACATGGCTAACAAATTATTGTCAACAAAAATGTTATCATCATCAGCATATAGTGCAAACGTTTTTTAATGCTGAGTACAAGTTAGATGAATACTTTTTCATTGGAAGGGAATATAAAATAACCAATTAAAACTGCAGTCCTGTCATCAGTCATTTCTCCATTTTTCCCACCATCCAGGTGAGTGAGCAACAGGTGCGTATGGAGGTGTTGCTCAGGCAGCAGCTGGTGGCCTCACTGGGCTTCCCCCAAGTCCGGGTCAATGACGGGGAGTGGCATCACCTCCTGGTAGAATTGAGAAGCGTTAAAGATGGCAAGGACATCAAATATATAGCCGCTGTGTCCCTGGACTACGGCATGTACCAGGTACAGGCAAATTACATCACAAAATAGACCAGGATGTATACGTGGCTCAAATTGTCAAGAAAAAAAAGTTCTCATTTTGATTTCTGTGTTTTTAAGCAGAAGTCAGTTGAGATCGGTCATGACCTCCCAGGACTGAAGCTGCAAACTCTTCATGTTGGAGGTTTGCCTGGAGCAGGCAACCATGTCAGCAAAGGATTTGTTGGTTGCATACAGGTAAGTGTATAAGTGTGTGTTTCAAAATGGTCAAATTTTTTCAAATTGTGAAAAGAAACATAACAGCAGTTTTCTCTTTTCTTCGACCACTTCTTCTTCTCCTTTACCAGGGTGTGCGTATGGGTGAGACGTCCACCAACGTGGCCAATGTGAACATGGCTCAGGCCTTGAAGATCCGTGTGGAAGACGGCTGCGACCTGGCTGACCCCTGCGACTCCAACATTTGCCCGGAGAACAGCCACTGCAGTGATGACTGGAGCACACACACCTGTGTCTGTGACCCAGGTAACATACACTCACGCATGCACACACACTCAAGTTACCCATTTAAGCTCCTATATATCGCTCAGTAAGGTTTGAGTGTCACTCCTTACTGTTTTCTCTGTGTCCTGCAGGTTATTTTGGAAAGGAGTGCGTGGATGCTTGCCATCTCAACCCTTGTGAGCACGTTTCCACCTGTGTCCGCAAACCAAGTTCCTCCCACGGCTACACCTGTGAATGTGGACAGAACTATTATGGCCAGTACTGTGAAAACAAGTAAGGTCCCGTCCTCTGTGTGTTTTTGAAAGTTTAGAGGGAGAGCAGGGAGCGATTTTTTCTGATTGCCCTTAAAGAGCAGAGACTCTGCAAGAGTTGATTGTGTTAACGATTTAGTGATGCTAAACGTTGCACCTCTAGATCTTTATTTCAAACAGATTGCATCTTAAACTGAATTTTAGAGAAATAACCTTTGCATGCTGAATGCTACGCAGACATGTATCCAGATGTTAAAAAAATTAAGCAGAAGATGGACTTTGCCTCCCATAGAGACAAAGCACACTAATCTTCTTTAGTTATGTTAGGCTCTTGCTCTTTCTGTAATGTTGCCAACCTCCTGAGTCCTTCAGAGCAGCTTTATTTGTCAGTAATCTGAGCTTGATAGTGATTGTGTGCCTGTGTGTGTGACGGAGAGGGGGAAAGGACAGATCAGGCATCAAAAAGAAATACTCAAACCATTAGGTGAAATTGGGAAATCCACATATACGCGCAGAAAGTGGTGCTTTAGTTTGCAGTGTCAGCATTGTCTAAGAGCTCACGTGAATTAGCAATCCCAGATTGAGAAGCAGTCATTTCCCCTTGATCCCTAACCCCTATGACATGCATCATATCCTGTCTTAAGCAGGATGTGGGATTCCCCCTTCATGCCTGACTGATCCTCAATAGGTGTTTAGTCACTGCTGCCCTCATACTGCCGTTTGTCCCCTATCAGATCACATCACTCAGTCGGAGATCGCATCTCTTGAGAGAGAAAGAAAGTGTCTGTGTGAGTTTGTAGGAAAGAGTCACACCTGATTCACTGACTTAAAAATGTAGAGGAAGTTTATTCTAGATTGAAGGCAACAAAGAGCATTTAGTTAGATTAACATAAGAGATAGTCAACTATCAGATATGGAGCATGAAAAGATGTGATCAACCATCACTTTGCTTGTATGGCAAGAAACCTTTTTTTTTATTTTAGCCTTAAGGAATTTGGAACTACAATAGATGCACAGGTCCACTCTTTAACCGTACAGTAACTATAAAATGTAATCAAAGTAATTCTTATTGTGTAATTATAATGCAATGTCACTACCAGCTCCAAGTTTAAAATACATTGTATGTTTTAGTAATTTGAAAAAATGTTAAATAGCATTTTAGGATGGATTTTGTGCCTGAAGTCAGTTACTTGCTGTGAACACAACAATATGATATCACCACCTTTGAAGTTCATATGATGATTAACTTATTAGCAAACAGTTGCTTGTACACATTAGCCTTGATTTGGATTCTTGTTTCTGGCCACCTTGTGAATGTAAGTCCTACATTTACACTCCTTTAGCTCTGTTTTTGGTAACAACAAACAGTAAAATTGTGGGTCAGACAGCTACACAATTAGCTGAATCTCACTATAAAGCTCCTTAAAGCTGAGGGGACCTTGGGTTGATATTTCTCACTAGGTTCATCAGAAAGAGCGACCCCTTTCACATTGTCATTTGATACATTGTTATTTTAAAAATATCTATTATAGCCTCTTTAATTAATGTGTCATTGTCTCTGATGACAGAGCGAAGAAGTCGTGTCCTGAAGGTTGGTGGGGGAGTCCCATGTGTGGACCCTGTAACTGTGATACTAACAGGGGATTTCACAAAAACTGCAACAACATCTCTGGAGAGTGTCACTGCAAGGTAAAAACATACATAACTTGACATTTTCCAGATTGATTGGTAAATCACAAAAAGAAACGCTCTTATATTTCCTGACTGTTTTGGTTTACAGCAAGGGTTGCACAGGAAAGGACAATACTAGACAAATGTTTGGCTAAAGATAAAGCGCAGAGGTTTTCTGTACAGTATTTAAAGCAAGAAAATTCACTCGGTACACACTGGTATGACCAGTAGCTTATGGTTGCTAATGTTTAGTATTAATAGTAGTAAGTATTAATGTCAGTTTGCTAACATTACTTTATATCTTATTTCTACTTGTATTTCTGTTACACTATATTTTAGAATTTAGTATCATCCTGTAATTGTTACTTGTGTGGCCACTGTTAACATAGACTTGCTTTATACATGGCCTTACAGACGCACTAATAGCACCCCCAAATATCTAAAAATGTGATTACCTGAATATAGTTTGAATCATCTATATCTTCTCATCTTGCAGGATAACCACTATCGGCCAGAAGGTGAGGACACTTGCTACCCCTGCGAGTGTTACTCTGTTGGCTCTGAGTCTCGAACCTGTGACCCCATGACTGGACAGTGCCCCTGTAAAGGAGGAGTCATCGGCCGTCAGTGCAACCGCTGTGATAACCCCTTCGCTGAGGTCACTCCCACTGGATGCGAGGGTATGTGGATTCATTTGTTTTGTAATTATGTGCATTTAAAATATGATTTTTCTCAATTTCCTTGATTTGTTTTTCTACTGACAGACTATAATGTTAGGGCAAGAAATAGTAAGATTAAATTTATTAATCCTTAAATGGTTTGAGGAGTTCATGACAAGGCCGGTAAAGGGAAAAAAATCATTTGAGAAGTTGGGTGTATTATTCCTTTAGATCTTCAGGTTCACAAAGTGAGCCCTGATGAATCGATGAAGTGTCAAAGGAAGACAAATAGTGTCGCTCACATCTGCTGGTGCTGCAGTTAAGCTAACTTCACGTCTTTGTCGCCACCCAGTCAAGCAGAAGAGGCAAGTCTGGCTAGCGGGCTAACTTGGCAGTGGGACTGCACACACACAATACAGTAGAGATGAATAGAAGACAAAACCACAAAGTCCCCTAATTGAAAATGAATGTCAATGTGCTTACTGTTTAACCCAATATGAAGCTCTTCAAACTCTCAGAACGTGTTTGGACTTTTAATGGACACTTCTTTCAGACAATATTGTTTCTTTTGTTAAAGTAAAATATTCCCCAAATCTTGCTTTTTTCATTTTTGTTTAAGTGGATTTTCAGATCTAAAAGGTCAAATAGATTTGGAGTGAGGGAGGAAGTGAAGATGAAAGAATGAAGCAAGCGAGAGGTTTCTTTGGTCATGTCCTACGGGTCACTGAGATGTGACCATCCATGGCAGGCCTCATACCGGTCTGTCAGCTCTTCACCAAACACAGCTGAGCCGAGACATTCAATAAAGCTGCGGTTAATGTCACTACCGCCTATAATGATGACAGAATGCGGTTTAATAGAAATGATCCTCAAAGAAAGGCTAAGTGTGATCTAAAAAATGGGAAAGTGAAAATAGTAGGTACATGAAGACTAGAGCTAAACATGATGAGCTTATTCAATCTAAAGTTAAAGGTTTATTCAGGTTATAAAGTTATGTGTCATAGCAGTGAAGTAGCACTTAAGAGTTAATGAAACATAGGGATTATGGGCCGTGTGCAACCAACAGGAGCCACAAACAAGCCAACAGGCCTGCAGGTCCCAGCTTGGTGTGTCCTTGAGATTTTATTAACCCAGATATGCTGAAATTGATTATGTATCTCAGCTTGTGTAATGGCTCTGCAGGCTTAATTTGGTTAAATGTTACTGTGTTGGTCTGTCTGGCTGTTTCATAAAATCACCTAGGTGACGTTTACTGTTTAAAGTAACATTTTTGTGGTACAAATTCAGGTGGTCCAGCTTCTTTTAATGCCTATTTAAGTATCACATAATGCTCTCAAACCAATGTTTAGCTTCCAACGCCTACCTGATATATCATTGTGATGAGAGTGGTATGTGGTGGGAATGTTGTGTGTTTACATACCGGCCCAGAATTAATCCCAGCCTCAGGTTTCAAACTGTATTCACATCTAAACCTTATATGTTTTGTTTGCCCTTTCCCTCCTCAGTGGTCTACGAGGGCTGTCCCAAGGCGTTTGATTCGGGCATCTGGTGGCCCAAGACCAAATTTGGACGCCCCGCCGCCATGAGCTGTCCCGAAGGATCCATCGGTGAGTGCTTTTGATTTCCTCTGATGACAAAAGGAACATGTGGAGTAATTATTTAGTTATGTATATAGTCAAAACAGTGAGTGGTCTCCTTTAAATGAATGATAGGAAGAGTTTCAGGCAGTGACATGGTTATGGTAAAGTTGTATCACTTTTTGAGGAAATGTATGTGGTAAGGGAAAAGTTTGATATTTTGCAGACAGAGCAGAGCAAACCGAGCCAGGTTAGCTTATGCCAGAATGTGTTAACAAAATGTTAAACTATTTCTTTAAAGCAAGTCTATAAATATGATGCGCTTGAGTGTATTTAATTAATTTATTACTTATAATTTCACCTGTTATTTCTTGTTTCATGAGTCACAAAGTCTCCGTGCCAAAATATTCACAGTTATTGAGTAACAGCAGTTAGATTAAGCTGCACAGGTAGCTGTGTTGCTCTCTGATTGGTCTGTTATTACAACAGAGCTTTCTCATCAGCCAATCACACCCAGGTTTGTCTGTAGAGACTCTTGGAATAACACCAGGTACATGAAGAGCTGACAGTAATACCCCTCCTCCTGCAGCTGTGTGTGTGTTTGTGTGTGTGAGAGGGAGAGAGACCTTCGAGGTGAACTCCAGATTCGAGTTCACTGACCTGCTCCCAGTAAAGCACTGTCACTTTCCTGGTTACCCCCTTAGTTACTGCCGTCTCCATGGTGACCCCTTTGTAGTCTCCCCAGACTCAGTGGGGAATTTATTTGCAAACATTACTTGTCGCCTTCTCCTAGCTCCTACTGGCAAGTCCTTCAGCCATTTCTTCTTTTTGCAACAATAGCATTTGAAGCGACTTTGCATTTGGATGAAGCCTTTTCTCAAACTGAATCAGACTGGAACAAGTCAGTATGGTTTCAGATATTTAAACCACTAAGACAGAAAGTGTTTTACATTTTTGAGGCATTAACTATTGCAAATATTCAGAGCAGTTTAGCTACAGTATCCAGTAAGGGCTCATTGTCATGCACGAGGGCTGTTGTTGCATTTAAACCTGTGACTTTCTGTGAGTGGCTGTGGCTCAGGAAGTAGAGCGGGTCATCCACTAAGAAGGCTGGTGGTTCGCTCCCTTGAGCAAGATACTTCAGTGTATCAGTGTGTAAATGTGGCATGTAGTGTAAAGCGCTTTGGGTGCTCAGAAGACTAGAAAGGCACTATATAAGTGAAGTCCATTTACCATTTATTTTCTGAGAAATAATGTTGTATTTGCATCTTTACTGCTAGCCCTCTACATCACTTCTAATGTTTAATTCTAGACTATACAATATTACCTGTCAAGAAAAATATAGATTGTTTTTTTTTATCACAAAAAATGTAGTTGGCATTATCTTTTGTTAGCCTTCAGTAGTGTGAACATGTATGTCTGTCAGTTAAAATGTCCTCCCTGCTGTTGTATTTTTACAGGTACGGCCATCCGCCACTGTAGCGATGAGAAGGGCTGGTTGCTGCCTGAGCTCTTCAACTGCACCACCAGCACTTTCTCCCATCTGAAGAAACTGGTGAGTACTACACAAAGTAAAACATTTCAACTGTCATTCTCAGGTGGAAATGATGAAAATATTCAAGGTTTAACTTGAAGAAGTGAAGGTGTGTTCAGATACTCCTTTCAGATCACCTGAATAAACTGAAAAATTTATTATTTCTAAACTAAAGCTCATGACATTTAAAAAGGCGGACACATCCTAACCAGTAGTCATCAGTCTGTTGTTGCCTTTGTGATGAGGAGTACACCTCATTAGTTCTTAATAAGGATCATACTGATTACTCGTAGTTATGTAAAAAAAACTATGCATTGTAAGGTAGCTGATGTCTCTTCAATAAAGTGTAATTTCACAGGATGAAGTCTATGGGAGATTTACACAAAGTATTGCATCTATTGTGTTTGAACCTGAACCTAATACTCAAGGCTTTAGCTTCTCAAAGTCCCACTAATCCTGGGATTGACCAATTTCTATCATGTTTCATCACACCCACTCAGCTTTCCATTGCCTTGACCTGCTCGTTCTTGTTCTCTTTGCGTCCCTCAACCCTCCATTCTTCCAGAACGAGGACCTGCGACGCAACAGTTCAAGGATGGACAGCGAGCGCTCCAAGACCATTGTGCGTTTGCTTCACAGCGCCACCAACAACACCCAGAATTACTACGGCAATGACGTGAAGACGGCCGCCCAGCTGCTGAATCATGTGCTGCAGTACGAGAGCCGGCAGGCAGGATTCGACCTCACTGCCATGAGGGATGCAGACTTCAATGAGGTAGAAAATGAAACGGAATGTGCAGATCAACTTTTGCTAAATATTTTGGTGATCACTGAGGCTAGAATTCAACTTTAATAAGTTATTGGAAAATATGTTAAAGCTTTAATTTTTGAAACCTAGTCTTCGGCACTGGGAGCACTGGTGGCACACTGCCCTCCACTGGTTGATTTACACAGGGAGAGCAACTTGCTCCATCACTGTAGTTACCTAACACTTCCCCTGTTGCTTTATTTCCAGTCCCTTTGATATTTGTGTGATGATTTGCTTTAAATAATCTACAATTATGTTGGATTTTTCCAGAACTTGGTGCGAGCAGGTAGCTCCATATTGGATCCTGACAACAAGGAGCACTGGGAGCAGATCCAGAAGACAGAAGGTGGCACCGCCCACCTGCTACGCAACTTCGAGGACTACGCCAACACCCTGGCTCAGAACGTCAGGAAAACCTACCTGAAACCCTTCACCATCGTCACTGACAACATGAGTGAGTCTGCTGTAGTTGTAGGAGCTGTAATCACACTGTGTAGAACTGTGACACATAATCACACCTGACAAATCGTCTTCATCCTGCCTCTTCTTCCTGCCACGTGTTATCTAGTTCTAACCGTGGACTACCTGGATGTGTCGGACCCAGAGAAGGCGACGCTGCCTCGGTTCCAGGACATCCAGGAGGCCTACCCCAAAGAGCTCGGGTCCTCCGTCCACTTCCCCCAGTTCAACCTCCGCTTTCAGGGCCACAGAGGTACAAACGCAGGCAGAGTCAGACCATTTGTTTCTTTTGTGCTGCGAAAATTTAAAATATGTAAAACTTCACTCTTCTCAATTTATCTGTCTCTATTCCCTGACAGCAGAGCCCACTCCTGCCCCTCCAACTCAGACCGATCCCCCGCAGGAGGAGGAGCACACAGTGTCCGATAGGAGACGGCGCCATCTTGAGCCGGCTGCCCCTCTGCCCGTTGCCGTGGTGATAGTGTACAAATCACTGGGGAAGCTCCTCCCGGAAAGATATGACCCTGACCGCAGGAGTCTGAGGTAGACAGTTTACATTTTTCGGCGTTGTCATTACCTTAAAATACTTTCCCACTGCCACATGCGACACACCATTATTTTGGAGTGCAGACCATCTCAGCTTGGAGTAAATTATGAAGTGTAGTCCAACTGTTGCAAACAAGGCCTCAAATAATGGAGAATAATATTTAACAGAGGGGAAAAAGAGAGCCCATACACTCTATCTGAACTCTCTACTGTACTTACAGATGTGTATACAATTAATCATATTCTGTAAACGTTTGAAGAAACACTACGTCACATGGAAATATTTTATCTTTAATGTCAATACATTCAATAATATTTACTGTAGGTGTGTTTGAAGGAGCCACCTTATCAGCGCCTGCATAGGCCTTTAGGATTCTGTTCAGCTATTCAGAACACTGAACATTGAGCCGGGGAGTGTTTTGTATTCTTGATGTGGATGGTAAGAGAGAAAGTTACTAAAAATATATTTCCATGAAAAGAATAAGAAGTTAACAAAAGGATGAGAGAGAATATGACCAAATGTAAACAAGCTTTGGGTCCGTTATGGTATGATCTACTGTACATTAGTGGCTGCGTGTGCATGTATGTAATGAAGCCAGAAAAAGCAAATGCAATCTCACTGTAGATCAGCTTTTAAAAACTTCAGGTCATACTGAATTGTGTTTCTTCATGTCTTTCCAGGCTTCCTAACCGTCCAGTGATCAACACAGCCATAGTGAGCGCCACTGTGCACAGTGAGGGTCCGCCTGTCCCTCCCATCCTGGACCCCCCCATCACCTTGGAGTACACCTTACTAGAGACAGAGGAGAGAACCAAACCTGTATGTGTCTTCTGGAACCACTCCATCGCGTGAGTTGCTCACACACACACACACACACACATGCCCAATGGTTTCAGGACCTCAGAGGTTAACTTTGGCAGATAACATAGCATTCATAATATTTTTTTTTGTTTGCCTTCTGCTGTAACTCTCTCACTTTCGTCTGTTGTGTGTGTTTAGGATCGGAGGCACAGGCGGCTGGTCCTCTAAAGGCTGTGAGGTGCTCAACAGGAACAACAGTCACATTAGTTGTCAGTGTAACCACATGACCAGCTTCGCCGTGCTCATGGACATTTCCAAGAGAGAGGTATTGCAGAAAATATTTGTCATTTCAGCTTCTTAGACAACATCCAGCTAAGCTTACCATTTTCTGCCTGTTGCCTTGTTATTGACTTCCGACTGCTCTCCACAGCACGGTGATGTCCTCCCCCTGAAGATCGTCACCTACACCACGGTGTCGGCCTCCCTGTGCCTCCTCCTCGTCACCTTCATCTTGTTGTGCCTCTTGCGCCGGCTCCGCTCCAACCTCCACGCCATCCACAGGAACCTGGTAGCAGCGCTGTTCTTCTCTGAGCTCGTCTTCCTGCTCGGCATCAATCAGACTGACAACCCGGTGAGTGTATTCTTAGCCCACAGAAAGTAGAGTGCATGTACAATGTGGAGACTTCTCTGTGTATCCGCAACATATTCTCATTGTTCAAGTCAGTGGGTTCCTCATTTTTGGTCAGATGTCCTCCCACTGCCCTGTCAGATGAATTCAAGTACACCTTCACTGGCACCACCTACCATGGTACAAATGTGTTCATTAATGATTTTAAACAGGATATTATTCAAACACTATTAACAGAAATGTTGCCCAGTCTGTGCTTACGCTGGCTTGTGCTGCGGGTAACATATAGTTATAATTACATCTAAGAAGAATTACATCTGGGGCATTTAGCATTCAGAGCCAGTTCTTCTGCTATGCTTGTGGCATGGTGGAACTTGAGAGGGGATAAAGATGTTTCACTTTGGTGTTTACTGTATTAAAAAGAGCCAGGCATCCTACAATATTTGTTTTGCCAGCGGGCAGCCACCTAACTCGGTGCTGACAGGAGCTTTACCAGGCTTAATAGGCCAAGGTCTACCTGAGAGCCTGTCTTTGACAGATTATGTGTTTTGTTTCTTGGCTAATGACTTTAATAGTTAGGAATGTGCTGGTTGCCAGAGCCCTTTCCAGATATAACCTCCTATAAGTGGATTTTTATTGTGGTTGGATGTAACTTTGTTACTGTAAACCTCTCTAATTCAAAATGTGTAGGATATAGGATAAGATCGTAAAGAGTCAGAAATCTAATAAACTAATTATGTTAAGTTCATAATCCAGTTTGGAGTTGGGTAGGTCACAGAAACATGCATGTGCACACACACATATACAGTAAAGGATCAAAAGGTGTGGGAATTCTTTGAAGTCTGCTGACACAGACATTCGGACTCACACGCACACACGCACACACACACACACACACACACACACACACCTCAGTGTGCCAGTAGTGGAGACATGCTGTGACTGGTGCCTCTCTCCAGAAGCAAGCCTCAGGGCGATAGGTCCTGGCAATGGTTTCCCAAAACACTTGATAAATGTCCTGCATGTCAGAAACATCATTAATCTGGTAATTAATGGGTAATCCTGCTTTTTAAGAAGAAGTGAGGTTTGGAAAAGCTGGGACATCTGGTGGGTCTTTGGGAGACACAAGGACAGATGTAACCAGTGGACAAAAAAGTTAGTTCTAAACGTCTTACAAGTAGCATTGTAAATCTGGTTAGTGACATAAACGCCAAATAGAACAACATTAGTTACATCCCTGATTCATTAGATTTTACTTTGATTTGTAATCTGTCCAGGCTCAAGTCTTCCAAATAAAACAAAGCAGCACTGTGGCCACAAGTAGCAATTACTGGATAGGGGTAAATGCTAAACCATAGTGTAACAGTGGCAAAAGTGGATAAGAGTCAGAAAACAGGTATAGAACAATGTCTAACATTAGCAACATGTGGCCACCAAAAGCTACTGATCATACCAGATGAAGTAAGGCAGTAGCAGCAAAACTCCTCAGTGTATTGAACTGAGTGATGTTTCATTGCTTATGAGTTCAACTTTTCATATGTACAGTAAGGGGAAAGATTAGTTATTTCTTCTTTCAAAAGTTCTATCGTGTCACTTTAAAATAAAGGTGTCAGCTCTAACTAGTCTGGCTTAACCAGATGTCTACAGTCTTACACAATGCATCACAAGATCAAGTGTCAGTCATGTAAGACTGTGGTAGGTAGTAACTGCCATCCCCCAGCCGTCAACCAAACGTACATTTTGGCTCTGACCATCACAATCAGAGATTAAAGTCAGCTCAGGTTGGATAGCCCTATATCACATACAATCTGTCAGTGGACCTTACATGTTACTATAGCAATGCCCTTTTTACCAGTAGGTCACATCTCATGTAATATTAGAACAGTAATACACTGCAAGGGTTGTTGCGAGGGGATGATCGCAGGAAGTAGACATCCAGATTGCTGATCTAGAAGAAGGATGGAGGGCAGAAATGTCAACAGCTGAATAAAAGGGAAATGCATATGGAGCCAGAGTGTGAAACACTTTTTTCCTACTCTTACTCCACGCCTCGTGCCATCAATAAATAAAGGAAGTTCCACAGAATTGAGAATTGAGAGAACTTAAACAGACTCATGCACCCTGGAACATAATCTACCGAATAATACAGCATCCCCTCCCCATTTGGATGACTCAGAAGTCCTTGTTAGGAGAAAAATAAATTACAAATATGAAAGCAAAGGGGCCCACAAATCTTTAAAAGTAGTTACCGCAACGGCCTGGGTTCAATTCCACCTTGTGACCTTTGCTGCATGTCTTCCCCTCTTTCTCTCCCCACTTCCTCACTTCAGCTGTCAAATAAAGGTAAAAGGCCCAAAATAAATAAATAAATAAAATCTTCAAAAAGTTTTGACTCTCTAGAGTTAAACTGACCAATCAGATGTCCTCTGCTGACCTAACTACTGATCTATCTATCTAAGATTTGCCCGGCAGAACTGGCTTGAGTTTTCGAAGTGAGTGAAGTTTTGTTTCAGCGGTACCAACCATAATGATTAGCACCCAACTCAGCCAGGCATAAGAGATTTATAGGTTCCAGGTAACTTGTGGGAGTTTTGTCCTTTGTTCCTGTAGAAATGTTCTGACTCACCGTGTTTTGACTGGGATGAGGAGACTCAAACGGTGACTAACGATAACTGCGGTATCTGCATCTCTAGGATTTTTTAAAAGTAGAAGATAGGAAAGAGAGAGTTTAATCTGATTGTTTTTTCCATCTCTGTGAATTAATAAATGCATGTTTGTGTGTGTGAATGTCCTCCATCGAGTGTTTAGGTGTGTGTGTGTGTGTGTGTGTCAGAACTGTGGAATGCTGTCAGTGTGAGCCTAGAGCCATCTGCAGGATGATTTATAACCCTGTCAAAGTAGTCTCTGTCTCTCTCTGATCTCCACAGCAATACACAGCATTACTTAAACACAGTATCTTAACTGCTGGGACATTCCCCAGCACACTGCATTCCTCCGATACAACAACAGACGTGGAAATAAGGAGGGAAAGGGATAAAAGAATGTGGGGATGGGTTGAATCATTACAGCTACCTTTAGGGGCTGCAAATCTTGATTGTTTTCATTGGCAATGAATCTTTTAATTACTTTAGACAACTTGATTAATTTTTTTGTTTATAAAATGCCGGAAAATTGTTAGAAATGCCTATCGCGGTTTGCCAGAGCCTGGCGAGATATTTTTATACACGTTTTGTCCAACCAGCATTCCAATATCCAAACATGATTTGAATAATTTACAATGATAGAAAAGATAGAAAAACAGCCAATCCTTACATTTTAGGAGGCTGGAACCAGACTTTTTTGGGCCATTTTTTGAATTAAATGATTATCAATTGATTACTTGATTCATTGGCTAATAAAGACTCCTTGTGCATCAACAGCACTAGGCTGTAAAATATTGTTAATGATGGATGATGGACACTGCATTGTTGTGTGCACGGGTGGATGTATTTACTGGAAAAAGCACAGCAGAGTGACAGCAGGGATAACAAAAAGACAAGAGTTGTGGGAAGAACAAGCTCAAACCAAAGCTGGTTTCTTTGGATTGCTCATCTAGAAACCCTTAAAATGTACACTCATGCTTACAGATTTTCTCCTCTCTGTCCCCGCTCTCTGATCTCCTCCAGTTTGTGTGTACGGTGATAGCCATCCTCCTCCATTACTTCTACATGTGCACCTTTGCCTGGATGTTCGTGGAGGGGCTGCACATCTACCGCATGCTGACCGAGCTGCGGAACATCAACCACGGCCACATGAGGTTCTACTACGCCATGGGCTGGGGCATACCGGCTATTATCACCGGTGAGACACACAACGCCCCAAACATACACGCACACACATGCAGGCTCAAAAGCAGCGGAAGATGGCAGATTGTCAGGGTGCTTTCTTGCTGTGACTCGTCTTTTCTGGAGAGGCTATGATCCTCGTGGGAAAATTATTGAACAAGAGAAGGAGGATAAAAGAGAAGGGGGAGAAACACATAGTGAGAGATAGACAGCCTTTGTTTGGATGTCAAATTAAGACAAAAACAGTAGCATAAATCTAAAAAAAAAAAAATATTCAGTTGTGGTGGAGGAGATTGTGCGTGTGTGTGCTGGGAATTTACTTCTCCATACACCTCAAACTCATAAATAATTTGTTAATTTATGTGTTTTTATAACCCTTATTTATTGTTTTTGATATCTCTAATTAGTACAGCTTTTTCTAGCCTGACATTTACTGCATATTTTACTTTACAGCCCTCTGATGTATAACAAAATGCCTAAATGTTTTGTATTGTACTGACATGCTTTGGCAGTATTGGATGCCAGCAACGCTTACTTGATTGGAATCTGGGCTGAGACGTGAGAGAGAGATAGAGTTACAGAGATCCAAAAAGGGCAAACAGATAAGAAGCAAAGATGACAGTGATGAGTGACTAAAATGATAGTGGGAAAACGAAAGTACAGGAGGAGGGAAATTTTTGGTGTCTGCTTGCTTTGACTCTCTGCGAGGGGAGGAGGAGATGTGTGACAAGGGAAGGAGAACCAGGGAGAAGCATAATGACTCATATTTTGTTGTGTGCCTCCTGTGTGTGTGTGTGTTTGTGTGTGTGTGTGTATAGGTTTGGCAGTAGGTCTTGACCCTCAGGGTTATGGGAACCCAGATTTCTGCTGGCTGTCTGTCCATGACACACTCATCTGGAGCTTCGCAGGACCCATCTTTGTAGTCGTCCTGGTATGTGCATGAGTTCAAACAGTCAGCTGGTTCTTGTTGTCTGTCTAGACCTTGGACCATTTATGTGTAAACCAAGTGCTTTCACATCATTATATATAATCTTAAATAATGTGAAATAAAGAGTGAAATACGTGTTCTGTTCACCGTCTCCCTCTCTCTGAAGGTGAACATAGTGATCTTTATTCTGGCTGCGAAGGCTTCGTGTGGGCGCAGGCAAAAGGCGATGGAGAAGTCAGGAGCGATGTAAGTTTCATGTATCATATTAATAATTCAATATGTAGCATCCTAAAGTTTTTACACAGTGTAACCTTTTGGCACTGGAGGAAGCTGATCTGTGTGCGTTCTCCCCTCCTCAGTCCTGCTCTTCGAATGGCCTTCCTCCTGCTGCTGCTCATCAGCGCTACCTGGCTGCTCGGTCTAATGGCTGTCAACAGCGACGTGATGACCTTCCACTACCTGTTCGCTGTCTTCAGCTGTCTGCAGGTAACACAGAGTTTATGTTTGTGTTTGTTAATCTCCGTCTTTCTCACCCTCCTGTTCATAACACATCTCTTCTGCTTTCTTCTCAGGGAGTCTTCATCTTCTTCTTCCATGTGATCTTCAACAAAGAGGTGAGGAAGAACCTCAAGAACGTCTTCACGGGAAAGAAGAGCGTACCAGATGAGTCCAGCACCACAAGGGCCTCTTTGCTCACGGTGAGTGAACAGACATACACTAATATAGCCCGACGTGTTGTTTTTTTGCTATTTCTGCATTATTTCATGTATCATCTGACAAAACAAAGTCACCTTTTTTGTTTTCTGTCCTGATTTCTGTTCCTTCATCCTCAGCGTTCTCTCAACTGCAACAACACGTACACAGAGGACGGCGCGCTGTACCGCTCTGGCATCGGCGAGTCCACCGTCTCCTTGGATAGCACGCTCAGGTCAGCCAAGAGCCGCAGCAGCTACCTGGCTTACACACTCAGGTACAACACGCTCACTGACCGCATGGCTGCTTCTACTACACTGCTGCATGATGAGAGTGTGTGTGTGTGTGTGTGTGTGTGTGTGTGTTTGTCCACTTCACTTTCTTTGGACTTTTGCTCATGTTGTCTTTCTTTGTTCTCCTCCCCGCATGTCTGCTGTTGCATCAAATGTCTCACACATACTAACACACCCCAAGCCCCTATTTATTATGTATAAATATATATATATATAGACACACACAAACACACACACACTTAAGTTACACACACAACCTGTCATCCTGTCCCTGTTCTCTGCCTTAGGGGATAAGTTATGTTGCTGGGTTTCTCCACTATATCTTGCTTTTCTTCCACACATGCATGTGGCCACAGAATGGCACTTTAATTGTACGGTAACTCTGCTTGAATGAAAGACCATGCTGAGATTTGCCAGTGCATGGCGCATGGCTTGGTTGCAAAATCCAGCACACACACATACAGGAAAATACATATCAACTCTCATTGATGGCTACCAAGTCAAAAAGAACACACATACCTACTGTAGATCCATCCACACTGTCAATCCATACTGTTATGTTGTTCTGTCTGTATATACTGACTATTGATTAGATAGCTAATTTAGTGAAATTTGACTGATTGTAGAACAGTAATTTTCATTGTATGAGGACTAAATAAATGTGTGCAAGAAACATAAAATATAACACATTTAAATTATTTAATGTTAATGTGATATAGCTTAAGGAATAAAATCCAAATAGTGTCTACAAAATCTAACATTTATGGAGGTACTGTAGGGTAGGGCTGTATTAAACCGCATCAGTTCGAGATACGTACACCCATTCAAAACACATTTTAGCTAACACACTTTTTAGCTAATGCAGGTGTAGCTATGTGTTAATTTTTTGTAACTTACTATAACTATAACTAAAGCCAAAAATTGTTTTTGCATGTACAAATGTACATGCACCCTTCTTATGCCCTTCTTACTATGACTCAACATTATAACCCGCCATTGCAAGACTGTTAATGTATTAAACTACATTAGTTTTTAGCTAGGTACACCTAGTAGGACAAGTGTATCCCTGATTAATCTCTAAAAAGTTGACATTTTGAGATAGAGAGGCTTTTCATCTCAGGCTAATCTCACCTGCACGTCTTGTACAGCAGCTGTGTGTTTGCATGTATCACAGACATGTTTTCATCGCGTAGTGGAGTAGAATTACATATACCTGGTATTTTAAAAGAGTTTTACAGAACCAAGGTTAGGTCTGACTGTACGCCGCGGCTCGTAAAGCTGTCATCTGGGTAATGCGAGCTGACACTGGGGTCAATGAGAGCAAAAACGCTAAAGGGGGGAGAAGCAGGATGGCGTGCTGCCTGTGCAAGATGCAAAGGGAAGAAGTAAGGAAAGGGGGAGAAGTAGATAGTGAGGGGAGCAGGACGGAGAGAGAAGATGAGGAAAGAGAAGGGAAATACAGGAGATGGGACTGTACCTGTTTAAGTGGGAATCTTATACAGACACACATACCTCTTCCCTGTGGCTGTTGGCACATCTTCAGACAGGTCAGAGTCTCTAGTAGCGTTTTTGCCCTCCAGCCAACAAATCAATCTAACCTGGAATAAACGCCTACAGGTGGAGAGGAGAGAGAAGATTAAGGAACTGGGTTTTCATTTACGTGGTATAAAAGAAAAGCTGCCACAACCTTTTTGCACGTTGGATCAAATTTCAACAAATTTGTGGTCACTTAAAATACCATAAATAGAGAATATAGCGATGCAGATTCTGCAATGAGTCGTAAATTATCCTTCCATCAACGGTAGATGGTTTTTTATGCAGATGATGAAACTTTAACCTGATGCACACCTAAACTACATTTTATGATTTGTTTTAGTCTTTGTTGAAGGCATCAACAGAGGCAAATGTCTCGAACATTCATTTCAAACTGCGAGTTTGGGCTTGAATGACCTTCCAGGGACGCTGAACCATACTTCCCCTCTCTGCCTCCTCTTAATCTCCACCTCTACTCTTCCACTCCCGTTTCTCTTTCACTTCCCTGTACCTCTCCCTTCCTCCTTTCTGTACCTGTCTTTATCTACCTAGGGAGGAGTCTGGTCAGAAGCCCAGTGTTTCTTCAGGAACAGCTAAAGGACACACAGACCTGGATGGACCTCTCTTCCACAGGAACGGTACCAAGGGAGATGGTGAGTTTTGTCATTATTTAGTTACAGGATTAAGTCAAACCTCCATGTGGAGATGCATACCTCATCTTTCTACCTGTCCTCCTTGTCCCTTTCAGACTCTGACTCAGACAGCGAGCTGTCAGTGGATGAACACAGCTCCTCCTACGCTTCCTCCCACTCCTCCGACAGCGAGGACGATGACATCGATGTCAAACCCAAGTGGAACAACGAGAGGCAGCCCGTTCACAGCACACCTAAAGGTATATGGGTGAACCTAAACATGAGGCGTAATCAGTGGTAGAATGTACAGTTACAAAATTCTGCTTCAACATATACTATATATGTCACTGTAGCAGTATCTTACCATCACTGCTTCCAATATGTCTCCTTTTCCCCTACTAGTGGATTCAGTATCCAATCATGTGAAGCCTTACTGGCCAACAGAGGCTACCACTGCCAGTGACAGCGAGGACCCCTGCGGGGCAGAGAGGCTGAGGGTGGAGACCAAGGTGAACGTGGAGCTGCATCCAGAAAATAAGCTCAACCACATTGGCGAAAGAGAGAAGGAGACTCTCCAGGAGAGAGACAAACAAACGCCTGGTAATGCTAGAGACACAGCGCCCCCCAGCCAACCCAACAGCAACAGCAACCACCAACCGGAGCAGAGAAAAGGTACGAGAAGAGAATTCTTTTTGGATAAAACTGAGTTTGTGGATTTTATCTGATTGACATTTGAATTAACTCTTTGTCCTTCTCAGGTATCTTAAAGAACAAGATCAGCTACCCTCCTCCGCTGACCGACAAGAACATGAAGAACCGTCTGAGGGAGAAGCTGAGCGACTACAACCCCCCCACCATCACTTCCCCTCCGCCCAACAACAACAACACCTCCTCCCTGCCTACCCCCTCTGTCAACATCATAACCCCTTCGTCCCGGCCGCCCTCGCTGGCCTCCAACGACGGCGGTCGCCCTGGCAACCACGACAACAGCTCCCTCATCAAGCCCCCCGTCGCCCCGCGGCCGCAGATTCCTGCCGGGCCCGCGCCGGCGGGCATCTACCGGGAGACCAATGGGGGTGTGGCAATGCACTTGAAGTCAGGGACGGTCAATGGAGGCAACGAGTCTGACTCAGAGTAAGTAGTTCTCCAGCTCTCCATCTGTCAGCATGTAACAATGACAAGATTTTTATTTTGCATCATTCTTTGTGCTCATAAAATTAAAAATTAATAATAACGTTACACTGACAGCACATGAATGAATGCTGCTTCAGAAGTAATTCCTTGTCATTTAATCATGTAATTTGACTCACTTCAAAAAGAGTTTGAAGAGCAACCATTTGGCTAAAACATATGTATTGGTTAACTATTATGTCAACTGATGCAATAATGCATGTATCATAATAGGATCCATAGTTAAAGGAATTGTTTAGGCATTTTGGGAATTTGGGAAATTTGACGAGAAGATTGATACCACTCTCATATCTGTATGATAAATATTTAGCCACAGCCAGCAGCTGATTAGGTTAGCTTAGCTCAGAAACAGGGAACAGGAAACAGCTAGCTTCCCCTTTTTACCCTTCAGTTTTTGTACAGATTAAACAAACAAATAAATGTAACGAAATTAATGAGATAAAAACTGTTAATTAGTGAGTTTGTAGGTGGATTTTGCTAGCTGCTTCCCGAGTTTTCCGATCTTTGTGCTAAGCTAAGCTTAATAGGCTGCTGCTGCTAGCTTCATATTTAGTGTACAGACATCAAAGTGGTGTCAGTCTTCTCGTCTAACTCTCGGCAAGAAAAGTGAATAATGGTATTTCCCAAAATGTCAAACTACTCTGTTACCTATAGCATGAATAATATGACCACCCTGCATGACCACCTCCTGCATCCCTGCATTCATTTTTACATTGCATGTTCTCCCTGCACCCTCCCTCCCTGCACCACCCACCCGTTCCCCCTTCCCTTCCTCCCTCCGTTTCCTCCGTTAACAGCGGCAGTAACGAGACTTCGATCTGACCTGATAGGAAAACCCAGACTAGCCTGCCCTTGTGAGAGGAGGAGTGAAGAACCTGCTGGGTGAGGAGAGGAAAGGAGGAGAGCCAAGAGGATGGGGAAAAAAGAAAAGAAAGCTGAAGACGGACAGGTGCTGCATATTGGGTAAAAGGGAGGAAAAGTGTTCCTCACGCCTGATCTGTCCACCCATCTCTCCTCTCATGTTCCCTCTCTCTCTCTCTGGAGAGCAGTATTAATTGCAGACTGTAAGACTGCCTGGGACTGGAAAATAAGCAGAGGTAATGAAAAGATGTAAGAAATAATAAAGGGAACGCTGTGTTGGACTGTACCAAGAGAGGATGCAATGGAGCCACGTGTGCCAAAACCACTGTAGGAAAGTGAGGACGGAGAGATGAAGAATTCCCCCAGGATGCATTGCAAGCCCCCAATAAGAATGTTCCTCTATGGTGGTTATAAGGGGGAAAGTTAGGAAAACTGGACAACTTACTTTTGGACAACTTCTTTCTCGTGGAGAAAGGCATATGTATAATCACTGTGCATGAACCCAGACTCAAATACATGCTGGTACATTTGTAGTCCAAAAGGATTTCAAGGACTACAAGTCCCTTAAAACGTCACACATAACCCTGACACATCCTGTTCTCACAGATTTTTGGACACATCCGACGGCGCTATCACACACCAAGTGCTCTTCTTTTTTTTCTTTTTTTTACTCAAAGAAAGGCTTCCCCAGCCTCTCAATGCAGTGCATTTAGAGTGTAATTAATGTGTAGATATTGTTAAAGGTGAAGAAGAAATGATCTATTTTGTATTTCAGCTGTAGCGAGGACAAGCATCTAAACTAAAAAATAATTTGCCTGTGTTAAGTTGGGAAAGCTTTCCAATTGAGAAAATCACTTGATATGCTGGTTTAATGCATTCATCCTCAATTGACATCTTACACACACACATTAACACACAGCCTGTAGTGGGCTTTCAGGTGCTGTACCACTCTCTGCCAGCAGATTCTGCTTTACAGACACACACACACACACATAATGCATGCAAGACTGTTATGTTTTTTGTGTGCGAGTGACCGAGAATGTCCCGAGTACACGCACACACACAGAACAGTGGCCCTAAATGAACACTAATTATGTAGAACGGAGAGGAAGTCCCCCTCTGTTGAAAACGCAGTTTTTCAGTCCAAGCACTATGAACCTGAAGCCTTCTTTTCCAGTGTCCATATTCTGCCTGTTTGTCCAGTGCAACACACTCCTGGTTACCAAAGCAATGAAAACAATAAATGTGCACATTTGAGTTGGAGTCATTTAGTTTTTAACTCAGTTTTAGTCCAAAATAGTTGGGGGAAAAAGACATTTGTTGGAGTTTTGGTGGGTTAAAGGCACAGCAAAGAATTAGTTATTTTAAAATGTGTGCTTTTCAGCCACTCACGATGGGCTTCATGTTTTTGGCTTTTTTTATTTAAAATTTGACAAATGTGAATCAGTATAAATAAAAAAGTCTGACTTTATTGCTGAATTTCTGAATCTGAGTTCAAAGTGAAATGATGCCAGCTCTAATGCATTTTGCAGCTAATATAAGGCAACTAAAAGTCTTGTTTACCACTCTCTGAATGCCTTTGTATCATACAACATACTGTACAACCCCAGTGTTTTGCCCTCCTGTAATCAATGCTGTTTATAAATGTCCTTGTTTTTTTATTGATCCAAGACACTGGAAATGTTTTGTAACATAATGTATATTTATTTTTTATGGTTTTAAGACACTGGAAAGAAAAGATGATTGTGACTGTAAAATTAAAGATGACATGATGAATTTTTAACCATCTTGTGCAGCCCGTTACATGTCTGTTTCCCAGAAGGAAGTGCGGCTAGTCGAAACATGTACACTACTCCAGGAAAATTAGGTTACATCAACTTTTTTGGATCAAATGATGAGTAACAGAAACGTGACTCACATAATTCCCAGTGGTAGGGGGTAGGTGATTACCTCTGTGTAACGTGTGAAAGAGTGGTGTCAGCTCATTGATGGAAATAAGGACCGAAGTGTAAAAAAAAAAGGAAAGAAAACTTCTTTTTTGTGTGTTTTTTAAATGAATCAGTCCAAACACTATCTTGATTGGCTAAAGTCTTTCCAGTTTAAGTGCTCCAAATTGGCCTAACTGGCATGATTTAGCATATATTTAGTGAAGTGAGCCAATCAAGACCCATTCTCGGTCTGATGCATGATGCCTGAATGTGCCTTTTGAGTGTTGACAATGCACAAATTTGAAACTTATCCAAACCAAAGACAAATATTTTGACCACAAAGTACAAATATAAAGAGATTTTATGTGCAAAGTTTAATTTAAAAATGCAGTTTAACGACCTTGAAAACCACATTTTTCAATCAGCGTCTTACCCTGAGTGATGGGGTCAAACATTTATACACAATTAGAACAGTTTTGGTTATCTGTATTTTTTTGCCAGTGAATATCTCACTGGTTTGAAGTGGCGGGGCTCGAGTGGAGAAAGGTGTCGTGTACTTCTGTGCACAGATCAGAACGAACCAATATTTGAATCAGTGTCTGATGGCAGTCTGATGGCTTTTTGCCCATGTTTCCTGCCCACTGTCAGTTAAACCAGACCATGGCACACTCTTCTGATGAAGCAGATTAGCTGATTTTTTTTTTAGCTTTAAACCCTGAATAAACAATCCATATGAGGTTTTTGTCAAAACTTAAGTTTTGATTGTTCCTTTTTTTTAGTCCTTAATATTTAATTTTCTAGAGAAAATCTAGTTTTTAGGGGCTTTAATGCTGTATATTTTACACAATAAAGTCATATTTTCACAGCAGGGAAAGAATAATACTGTGGATAAGATAGAAAAATGGCGGGGCAGACAAATAGACAGACCTTTGGAATAAATCCAACAAAGATGACAGATTTCAAACAGAGGTGCACCCTGAAGCGCTGTGTATGCTATGGAGATGTTGTCCATACAAGGTAATGTATGGGGAGAGCAGACTCACTGTCTCAATCTGCCCTGTGCCCAGTGATCAGAGCCCCACTGACTATCAGTGTGAGGCACAGACAATTCAGTAAAGTCACTGTACAGTATGTGAGAGAAAGCTTAATGGCTGACTGCTCTGCTGTGGAGTTGAACCTAAAACACAAGAGGTATGTGTGTGCATCAGAGTGGGTGGGTGGTTAGCTGTATGGGGGTATCTGTCTGAATGACTGTGTTAATCCTCACAGAACAATGGTGGCAGCCGGTCCCCTCGCTTTGATCCAACCTTTTGCAGGGCACACACATGCACACATGTACACACACTCTATGATTGCATTACACACACACACCATTGTTCCACAGTAACTCTATTTTTACACGTTTTTCAGTCGAGGGAAGGCCTGAACTCATTTTCTGGAAAAATTATTCACTAAATGACTCAAAGTCCCTCTAAATATTTTTTTTATCCAATATTACTGTGTACCCTTTTGAGAAGTGTGTATTCTCTATGTGAGATTTGTGCACAGCAAGTGTCCATAAAGCAAATTTGGTAGCTCCAATGCAACAGTTTAAGTTTAGTTTAAATTATGTTTCTCACCGAAGAATCCTTGTGTCTGTAGTAAAGACTATTTTTATGATATCACTACTACCTATAATGCATGTATTTAGATTTATGTAATTTGAAGCTATTGTTTGACATTTTAGGAAGTACGCTTGTTGGCTTTCCCAGCTAGCTTAGCTTAGCATAAAGACAGGAAACATGGAAACAGCAAGCCTGGGAGGCAGACAACCAGAGGTGACTGCAGGAAGTTCCTGCTCCTGGCCAGGAAATATCACACATAACCTCCTATAAAATGGTTTATTGTTGTTTTCACACTACAATTTACACACAGATTTAAGAAACAAGATACAAGGCGCTTTAATTAGTAAGCTTTAAAGGTACAGGTACGTGGATTTTGTTACCTTTGGACAGGCCCAAGCTACTGTAGCTGTTTCCTGTCTATGTGCTAAGCTAAGCTAACCAGCCGCTGGCTGTTTTTCTTAAAATGTCAAACTACTGCTTTAACATTGCATTAAAAAAACCTTTATTTGTTACTGAAGGAACCTAATTTTGCTTTGTGTTATTTTCTGAAAGAAGTTGCCTATTTAACAGATACAGTTTCTACATTCTTCCACACACACCTTCCTTTAACTTGCCACTGAAGAAACTTTGTTGTTCTTAAGAATTAATTGTTCACTGCAAAGCCCTGCACTAAACTTTCCCTTCACATTATTTACATTTTTTCCACAGCTCAGCCCACTTTAAGACCCGGCACTTTGCCCTGGCATTCCAAGGTAAGCCGGCTATACGCAGCCCTTCACTTTTATGTTTGTCTGTAAGAATTTGTCTTCAGCCATATGTACCAGATTAGGCGAGATGCATTTAAGTGTCCGTGGATCAAAGAGCTTGGGAGATGTAAAAGGCTACCAAGGTCAGGTAGGACAAGTCGTAGAATCCCTGTCTTTCCGTGTTTTCGTACGGGTAAGCTAGGTGTACTCATACCATTGATGTAATGGGTCTTTGGAGGGTTCGATGCCATGTAAGGGCCTGGAAATGGCAACCGTGCCAAGTCTATCACGTGAACACGTACACATAAAGCCTGCTGCCACTGGATTATTGCCAAGTAAATGATTGCGAGCAGGCAGAGTGAAAGGTTAGATGGGAGGGTCAGGTTTCACAAGCCTATTGGGCGCTCAGTTGTTATGGCAACCAAAGCCAGTCCTCCCCTCAGGTGACATAAGGTACAAAGATGAAGTGAGGAGTCGGGGCAGAGGTCAAACTATGACTAGTGGTCGGATTAGTCGTCACAACTGAGATCATTACTCATGTGCATAGTAAGTTTAAAGTAACTATTCATTGCATGAACTTCATTACCAGTAATAGGTCGTTCAAAACAGGTGTCATTTTGTCAGGTGATCTATATTTAACTTTGGAATAAAATCTTCATCTTGAAACCTGAGGAGTCGGGTTGACACAAGTAACTAGTCTCTATCAGAGTGACCCTCTGCCCTCCTCTTTATCTCTGTCTCATCACAGCCAGGCAGACTAAATAATTCAGACTCATCAGAGCCACAGTTGGCATCCTAAAGAAACTGCTGTGCTGAACAGGATGAGGGAGGAGGAAGGAGGACGACTGATCCAATGGGGCCATCTACTGGTGAAGAGTAGAAGGTCACATGTAGAGTGTGTGCCAGAGTGTGTTCTTGTACCTCTGCACTGCTGAGGACAGCTGTTGAAAGGATCAAAGGACTAGAGAAATCCATTAAAGTGAGACTGCGTAACAAAAGAAGCAATGTTGAATTCATATGTGATAAAAACACACTCAACACACCGGGCTGTAGCTGTTACAGCCATGCTTGGTCTGGTTGGACCAGTATGGTGGCTGACCTTACTGAGCCAGGCTCTTCTCTGCTTGTGCTACTGTAAAAGACATTTTAGCAGTTACTTGTAATTCTCACAGTGCCTACTGCTCATTAAAAGATACAGTTGCCTGATTCTACATAATTAAATATTCATGACTGAATAAGCAATAGTCAAACATCGGCTAATCAGCTTCCTCAGGACAAGGTTTGATCAGATTTGACACACAGTGGCCTGGAAATATGAGCAAGCATCTCTGCCGTCATCACATTTTGACTCAAATGTTGGCAAACTCGGATTGGTGCATGGAAATCTATGACATCGCCATTCTCCAACTGCGGCCTGCAACGAGAATGGAAATCCAAAAACTGAAGTCTCTCGTGTGAAATGACAGAAGTGATGGCAGCTTTGAAAAAAAAAGCTTTTCAGGCGCTTTTTATTCTCCTTTATTCACTCATTAGCTGTTTGTTTTAGAAGCTAGTTTAGGGTTTAAAATTAAGGTTAAGTAGAAAAAAAACCTGCACAAAATCCTGCTCTTTGTAGATTAAAAAATGGCTGTATGGTAATGTGTGGTAAAAAACACCCTCACTTATTTGTATAAAAAAAAAAGAAAATTTGAATTAGCTCAAACTAGCTTACTGTCACTGTGTGTATGGGTTGACACTCAGCAGTGTTGTACTTCTGCCCACACCCACCAGTGATGCTGAAGCAGTTGTTTTGCCTTGCAAATTGCAATTGGTGATCCTTGATCATAGACGCACACGTTTAAAAATCCATACTGCAGGTGGGTAACAACATGTTTCCTGTGATTAGAATTAGGCATTGGTATTGGTTATTGTAAAGGTTAGATTTTACACTTGTGGATTAGTTGAGAGGACCAGCAGCACTGACACAGCACTGACACATAATGCTGCATAGACAGTGTGGTCAGTGGAAGGTCCTCAGAAATATAGCAATCCAAAGAGTAAACTGATAGCAAATAATCCAATTTAATCAGCTCTCTCAAATAAGTTCATGTACTGAATGAGAATAAAAAGAATTATACATAATATTCCCATCAAAACACATTGAAAGAATCCCTCTTTAAATCACATCTAATCATTTTTGTTGAAATAAAACCAAAATGACAACATGCTAGTATTTAATCAACCATCTTATCCAAACGTACTTTGCATCCGCAGCCTCGTCATCCGTCCTCCCTTTCCTCCCAACTGTTTTATAATTGACTCCGAATGCGCTGCCAGTTGCATAAGACACGCGGGGTTGTGCAACCCTCTAGAAAATACTGGTTTGGGATTAAGAGGTTTATTACAGGGTATCTAAATGAGCACAGATGGAGGATTTGGGAAATCTTAACAGTGGTACTTTTGCTAGAAGACATCTGAAGAGGATCACAGGGCCAGAAACCTATTGTGTGCG